CACCCAATAAGTGTTGCATCTGTGATCTTCCAGCTCTCTGTACCACCCTGTTTCGATGGCGTACATTGTAAATGGTTTTAAGTGTGCTTACATTGAGGGCATCTCGCTGTTTCAAGGTTACTAGGATTTCTTTTGGCCGAACCATACTCTTTGACATATCCATTAACAATGCTTTCTCATCCTTTGATAGCCTCCCCGCATATGAATGTCCCTCAAGGTGCTCCGCAGATGGATGGTTATACAATCCACATACTACGGTCAATGTCCATTCATCATGTGTGGTAAACCTGTAAGCCCTCATATCAAAAGGACAACTACACTTTTTCGTACCGGTTATTTTTGATGTATTGTTGCCATCATGTTTTAACTTCTTTGTCGCTCTATATTGGTCACTCCTCTCACAAGCAAGATACATCCTGGGTCTTTTTTTCCCTCCACCATAGTCTGATGTTTTGATTACAATGACCAAACCATTTCTCTTTCCAACTTCACATACCCAGTTGAGCAATTCATCCTTACTTTTGAATACCTACAAAGTCAAATAAATATTATCAAACATTTACATTTGTTGAGCAATTCGAAACGTAATCATTATAATTTCGTAGAGTGAACCTATTTAGTTGTCAATTGAGCAGTATAATCCAACACAAAATCCGCGCAAACCTGACTTCCTTGAGTTGACACATATTCCTACATATTTTGTATAACATTACAAATTTTTAATGGCATTATAAAGATTAATTTGCAATTCGAAACTGTAAATTTCGTATGCAGTTTGCAAATTTGGAATATAAAATGGGGAAAAAAAAATTTCTTCATTCGGAAGTAGTTGTCCGAATTCATTTTAAAATTTCGGAAGTTGAATGTTGTAAAAGTTAACTTATTTTGGACAACAACTTCCGAAATTAAATACTTTTTTCGGACAACAACTTCCGAAAATAAATACTTATTTCGGTAGTAGATTTCTGAACAAAATAATATAATTCGACTATGGTTATCCGAACGACGCTGAAAAAAAAAGAAGGAGAGAAACTCACATTTCCTTCGCTATGTTTCTCATAAACATTTATTTGCTGATTTTCAGGAGACAAATCTCCATAACAATGATAAATGAGGAAGAAGCTACGAATGAGGAAGGCTAATGCTTTCCCTTCTAGCTTAATGTATGATGAATGAGTGCATTGATAAGCTATGAACTTGGAGCTTAATGGAAGAAGCTACGAACTTGGAAGAATATACGAATGAGTGAATCAGTGCTTTCACTTCTAACTCAATGAAAGGAGCTGAACTTGAAACTTTAACGTGAAGTCTAGATGGATGTATGCATTGAGACGTTTTGAATTGGGTAGATGTCTAAAATAGTAATTACACTTAGAAATAAAATTATAATATAAAAAAATATCATTAAATATGTGTATCGAAGGAATTTGGTGCCTGTAGATAGAAGCTCCCATTCGACCCGCCTCCCATTCGAACAGCTACCCTTTTTCCGACAAAATAACAAAACTATCCAGGTATATATACCTATCCCTTGACACCCCTTTCTCCCTCTAAACCCACGATCACTACGCCTCTGATTTCAGTCTCCACCACGACCACCGCTGTCCACCATAACCACCGTTCGCTTTTGAGGGTGGAGCAACCTATGGCTCCTGACATCTCCGATCATAATGTCTCCCGCGGTGGTGGCTCCGCTTTTTGCCGCCGTGACATCATCTTCGTCGTCAATCCCTGAGGTTTCTTTCTTTCTTTCTCCCTGTCTCTCTCTAAAGTCTTCGTCAAAATCGGCCATATAGGGTTGGACCCTGTCCTGCCCACAGCCCCAATTATTCTCAAATCTCAATCTACTCTTCATTCTCTCTCTCTCTCTCTCTTGAAGCCATGGTCACAAGCTATTTTCTCTACCAACAGAGGTGAGCTTATTTCCACTTTCCCTTCAATCCAAAAACAACTTTATTCTAGAATCGTTGTTCTCAATTTTTGCTTCATCAATCAACAACAAATTTGCACTTCGATTCAATATCAATACTCTCTCTCTCTCTCTCTCTCTCTCTCTCTCTCTCTCTCTCTCTCTCTTACACACACACACACACACACACACACACATAAATATATATACACACACACTTTTACCTTATTGAAATGACCTCACTGTTCAGAAGAAGAACACAAGCTTTAAAAACCTTCCTCACGAACTCAAAATTCTCTCCAATTAAACCCTCCCAAAACCCTCAACCCCCATTCCCCTGTTTTCCCCAACAATCTGGGGTTTCAAAATGTCAATCTTTTTCAACCCAATACCCCAAATTCCCCGAATACGAAATGCCCTCGGTCACCTGGGGCGTTGTTCAAGGGCGTAAAGAAAAGCTCGTCTCTCGTGTCATAATTTGTGATTACTTGAAAGGTATAGGCATAGTCCCGGATGAATTGGAGGACCTAGAATTGCCCTCCACTGTTGAAGTTATGCGCGAACGCGTTGAGTTTTTGCAGAAAATAGGGTTAACAATTGATGATATCAATGAGTACCCATTGATGCTTGGTTGTAGTGTGCGTAAAAATATCATACCTGTATTGGGTTACTTAGAAAAGATTGGAATTCAAAGGTCAAGGCTTGGTGAGTTTGTTAAGAATTATCCTCAAGTTTTGCACATGAGTGTTGTTGTTGAGCTTGTCCCAGTGGTTAAGTTCCTCCGTGGGCTTGATGTTGAAAAGCATGATATGGGGTATGTGTTGATGAAATATCCGGAGCTATTAGGATTTAAGCTTGAAGGGACAATGAGCACGTCAGTGGCTTATCTAGTTAGTATTGGAGTGAATCCGAGAGATATTGGACCAATGGTCACACAATATCCATATTTTTTGGGAATGAGAGTTGGGACAATGATCAAACCACTTGTTGATTACTTGGTTTTGTTGGGTTTGCCAAAGAAGATCATAGCGAGGATGCTTGAGAAGAGAGCATACATACTTGGTTATGATCTTGAAGAAACTGTTAAGCCGAATGTGGATTGTTTGATAAGTTTTGGGATTCGGAGGGAAGCTCTTGCTTCAATTATTGCACAGTACCCACAAATTATTGCACTTCCTTTGAAAGCTAAATTGTCAACACAACAGTATTTCTTCAATTTGAAGCTCAAGATCGATCCTGATGGGTTTGCTCAAGTCATTGAGCGAATGCCGCAGATAGTTAGCCTTAACCAAAATGTGATCATGAAACCTGTTGAGTTCCTTGTTGGACGGGGCATACCAGTGGAGGATGTTGGAAAGATGGTTGTCAATTGTCCACAGTTAGTTGCTGTGCAAGTTGGGCTTATGAAAAACAGTTATTACTTTTTCAAGAGCGAGATGGGAAGGCCAGTGAATGAGCTCGTGGAGTTTCCAGAGTACTTTACTTACAGCTTGGAATCAAGGATCAAACCCAGGTACCAGAAATTACAAGGCAAAGGAATTAGGTGTTCGTTGGCTTGGTTTTTAAATTGTAGTGACAAGAGATTTGAAGAGAGACTACAAGCTGATTATCTCGAAATTGAGAGTGCAGGTCCATCATTTTGTATGGGTGGGAAACTAGAACTACCAGGGAGTGAGGTTGTTTCAGATGTGGAAGATGAGAGCGATGATGAAAAACTTTACAGATGCACTGTTTCTCTTTAGTTCATTTTTGTGCTGTCACATTAAAGAATTAGTTCTGCTTTTTGAATGTTGATGGCAATCTGTTGTTTATTTTCTGTAGGATTATCAATTGATTCTGAAGATTGCTTAAAATGATGATATAGCTTGTGGGTAATTATTGACTGATTAATTTATTTTTATTTTAAAATTACTGGATGCTTTTCTCTTCATACATAATCTTATTCTATTAGAGGTTATTTCCTTATTTGTGCCTCCAAGGATTCCATTGTAAGCTACCTATTATAAATATAGAAGGGGGTGATTGTCTAATAATTCTCTAAGTTAGTTTTCTCTCAAATAAACAAAACTCACCTCATAAGAGTGCTGTGTCCGGTTTTGTGATTAGTTTCAGTGTTCCTAAACTTTTTTTTTTCCACAATTGAGGGAAGGTTATTTTAGATAGCAATGGATATTATGACATTGAGAAGATTCTTATATTTTGTTTCCTGAATGAGAAGTAAACGTGAATGCTTAAAATGGATTTCTCCCTAAATTTTTAAAATTCTTTTCTTAAGAAAAACAGAGTGGTAAATTTTGTAGAGATGGAGACAGTGGTTTAACTAACTATTTCTCTGAAGGTATCAATAGTTTATTAGAAGTGGGACAATTTGAGTGGTTTGGTTTGGTGGAAATCCCACCTAACAGGGGTACATCTAAATTTAATCTGTCAATACTAGTTCATTCATTTTCTTCAAAAGAATCATAAACATAACACACAAAAAAACAAAGAAAGCAATATATGGACTCAGAAGGGAATCCATATGGTTTGCAAACTAATGACAGTATGTCTTGATATTAGCAACCCCTCCCATGAGAGCCTGTCTGTTTTAAAGTAAACTTCTCCTTGTACAAGTTTCCTTTTGTGTCAGAACCCATACTATAATATAACCTGTGGAAAGATTAATTAAATTTCAGTAATCTTGACCATCCTCTCTAGCCAAGTGGCATTGCTTGGTGCAATGTCAAAAGCTTGGGCTGCTTATCGTGGGAATGCACGTTTGAGTATGTGAGCAGCCTCTTCGTGCATATCAATCATTTCACATGATTAGGTGTCTATCAAGTCTACCCATTTCATCACCTGTCATTAATGGGGGCCCAAACTGGTAATTCCCTTTTTACAATTCTTTCCAGTGATGAGAGTTGGTTATCGTTAATGCTATGTGGTGCTTAAACAAGTTTTTTTCTTCCTAATCTTGTGTATGTTAAATTTTGAATGTGGAAGGGACATGTAACTAAACTATTGAGTATCTTATGATTAATTTATGTAGACATGCCAGGCAAACGAATTCTTAAATCTGTTGGATAGATGAAGAAGGAAAAGTTCTTGTAGATTCTTGTGCTTTAACTAGAAATATCCACTAGACCAGATTGGTTAGTTTAATAGATCTATTACGATGAGTAAATTATGCTGCTTAACTGACTTATGTCCACTTTTGTTTCTAGTAAGAGAATTAAGAATTTACAGGTTTGTTGCTGTCTATTTTGAGTAACAATAAAAGTAATTACCGGAAATAAGCTGTCTAATCTCTTCTTGTGCCTATCAGTACAAAGAATCTCTCACATAGATGATGCCAATTTTATGTACCCTGCTGAAAATCCATTTAAGAAGCAGAGACCTCCAAGTCGAGAAATGTATGCAAAAACTAAACTATAAAAAAAAAAAAAAAATTCCTTCATGGCAAATTATATTTACAACATTGAGTGTAGTGTTAACCATCTATATATATGTATCATGTTTAACAATCCCTTGTTTGTTCACTGTACAACTTGTTGCTTTTCTAAAACAGGCAGATCATCTTTGCCGACAAACTTTGCAGCAAATGTCTTGCATTTTAACAATTCATCAATCAGCCCAAGGATTGCTTGCCATGGGGGGAATACTTTCAACGACTTCGTGCTCTTAGCTCATTTTGAGCTTCTCATCCTCGCGAACCTGCCTAGTACCTGCCTAGTTTACTATGTTAGGAACTGCAAACATGACATTTTTGTTGTCATCATTGCCAGTATTCATGCCAGACTTGCAGAGTATACATATTTTGATAGCTTTTGTCATGTATTTAGGGTTACAATGCAATCTGTTAATATTTTGTTAAGCAGCTTTTCGAGTTTGTAAATATGAATCATAGAGCTCCTTGTATTAGGAGACTAGATTGAAACCTATGAAGCACGGACACCTCTCCGAGGGCTCCGTACCAGTGTCAGACACGTGTCGGACACGGACACGCGTCGGACACGTAGTGGACACGTGTCCGACACGCATTAGAGAGTGTCCAATTTTTTATTATTTTTTTTGAAGCCGGACACGTCCAGGACACTTTCGGGACACGCACGGGGTCAATTTCAGAATTTACAAAACATTTTTAGGGTCAATTTCAGAATTTACAAAATATTTTTGGGATCAATTTGTAAAAAAACAAAAATAACTTATATTTGCCCTAAATCGATCAAAGATAGCAGAGAACAAAAAGAGAAAGAGAGAAGGCAAAGATAACAAAGGAGAAAGAGAACCTGGTCGCTCGTCCGTCGCTCGTCATCGCTCGTCGCTGCTCGTAGCTCGTCACTCATCGTTCGTCGTCGCTTCTCGGCCGTCGCTCGTCGCTCGTAAGGTACACCTTCTTCTTCCTTCCTCAGCTTCGGTCTTCTTCCTTCTTCTTCTGGTCTTCAAAAAAAAAAAAAAAAAAAAAAAAAAAAATCCTTCATAGCAAATTGTATTTACAACATTGAGTGTAGTGTTAACCATCTATATATATGTATCATGTTTAACAATCCCTTGTTTGTTCACTGTACGACTTGTTGCTTTTCTAAAACAGGCAGATCATCTTTGCCGACAAACTTTGCAGCAAATGTCTTGCATTTTAACAATTCATCAATCAGCCCAAGGATTGCTTGCCATGGGGGGAATACTTTCAACGACTTCGTGCTCTTAGCTCATTTTGAGCTTCTCATCCTGGCGAACCTGCCTGGTACCTGCCTAGTTTACTATGTTAGGAACTGCAAACATAACATTTTTGTTGTCATCATTGCCAGTATTCATGCCAGACTTGCAGAGTACACATATTTTGATAGCTTTTGTCATGTATTTAGGGCTACAATGTAATCTGTTAATATTTTGTTAAGCAGCTTTTTGAGTTTGTAAATATAAATCATAGAGCTCCTTGTATTAGGAGACTAGATTGAAACCTTGTATGCAAGTTGTATAGTTCAGTTGTTTGCAGGGAACTTTATTTGAAATTCAGGTTTCAAACTTTTAAGTGGATTAATGGTCTTTTTGAGAATCTTATTGGTTGAGATTAGGAAATGTTATGAATTTATTTTTACAAAATATTTTATAGACTTCATGTCCAGATCTTTGATAAAGATCTATTTTTGACCTCTATATGATGAGATGATAGAATTAGATTAGTTTAGACTTTGCTGCAAAGTATATTTCTCTTCCAGCGTGTTGTATTTTTCCACCCTTAATCATTGGCCCCACTTGTGATGGGGTATATGTGATATGATAGGTATGTAATTCAAATGAAATTTTAAAAAATAATGTATACTTATCTGTATTGTCACCTGACTCCACGTTATTTATCAAATAAAAAGATGACTGAAAAAAGATAACATTTTTGTTTTATTATCATTATTTTTTAACGCCGATCACCAGACCCTAATATTGTTTTTAGTTGAGGAATTTGAGGAGGGATTTGGAAAGAGAAATGAAAAAGGTAGGTGAAATGTGAAAAAAAACATGCTTACATTTCACATAGTTTCACACACCTTTTCCCTTTTCCTCTCCAAATACCCTAACCAAACATAGCGTAAATCTATGGCATAAGTTAGAACTGGTTAAGCGAGGAATGATGAGGCCATAGCTAGGTGAAATAAACTGATCAAAAACATAGTCCGTACTAGAAGGTTAAAATAAAATATCAAAATAGAATAACATTTATAATAATTATAATGTTTTTATTATGATCATTATTTTTATTATTATATTGTAGCTGGTTTTGTCCACTCCTATTTTTATGGGCAAATTATACTAACAGTCCCTATAGTTTGGGTCTTGTGTCACTTTAGTCCATGACCATTCAATTATGACACATTTGACCCTGAATTTTGAATCTTGTTCCAAATAAGGACAATTGAAAATATCATTGTTTAAATTCAAGGGTAAAATTGTCAATTTGATAAAATATAAACTAATTTGACAAAAATAAATGTCAAAAAAATATTTTAAAATTTTTAAAAATTATTTCTACCCACCAAAAATAAAATTATGTAAAATTGATAAAAATTAATAAAAATTACTTGATTAATTTTTAAAAATTAATTTTACATGATCATCATCTAAATACATAATAAAAATTAATTTGGTAAAAAAATAAATAAATATCTAAAAGATTTATCAATTTTATATAATTTTATCTTTAGCAAGTAGAAATATTTTTTTGACATTTATTTTTGTCAAATTAATTTATATTTTATCAAATTGACGATGTTGCCCTTAAAAAATCCAATAGTATCTTCAATTGTCCTTATTTGGAACAAAATTCAAAATTTAGGGTCAAATGTGCCACAATTGAAAAATCAAGATTCAAAATGACACAAGTTCCAAACAATAGGGACTGTTAGTGTAATTCATCATATTTTTATTATTATTGCATGCTCATTTCATATTTGACACCTAGCATATCTGGCCCACATCTCGTACTCAAGCCCATACTATTTTGTGCCTCATGTAAGTTCTTTTCACAGTTTGAATCCATGTAATTTTACTGACTCTTGTGCTGATTATTATTTTTTCTTTCTTTCTGATATATAATCCTGTATACACATAATCGTGACTTTTCAGTTTCTTATCCCATTGTATAAATTATTTGAATACGTGCATATTGTTATTACTCATGGAATGGCTAAATGTTACTGTCTTGTACTTTATGACTGATATACATGGATATAGATACCCTTTCCTGAAGCCCTGAATAAATTGAAAAGATACGATCTTAATATAAATAAGTTTGGGCCCTCTGCTTGCACAACTACTAGCGGTGGTTGGGGTTGAGCAGTTGAACTTCGCTATGAATATTGCTCAATCCATTGGGATGGGAATTTAGATTTTGCCACCTGAGCTATGAATCTAGATCACATTGGCCATCCAAATATACCTTCATAACTCCAAATTCAATTCATCAAAAACTGTCCACGGTTTTGCTTTCATCACTTGTCCATATAAAACACCTTGTATGTTGTATTTCTGGTTCGTAGGACAGTAACAAAGCCACAGTAGTTAATATGTACCATATAAGAATAGAAGAGAACGGTTTTGCGACATGGACACTAGCTCAACTCAGTATTGGATACTGTTGTGACTTTGAACCATGAGTTAGTTGCATCTAGTTTTTCTGGAAATCTTATTTTGTATAATCTGACACTATAATTTATTTAACCTAACACTTTGGGACTTTCATCCTTTTATGAAAGTAACAATCAATTTCTGTTATCTATCCATGTTGAAAAGTTAGCATCTGGTCACAGACCTGAAACTAATCCTTTCTTCTGTCCTAAGTATATGATGGGAAGGGGACCCTTGAGGAAGGGGAAACAGCTGAAGCTCAATTCATCAAGATTCAAGCAGCTTATGAACTGCTCATGGATGTGGAGAAGCGAAGGCAATATGATCTTGATAATCGAGTCAACCCCATGAAGGTGAAATTTTGATTATTTCAATCGTTAATATCATATTTTATTATGAGTTGCAAAGTTTCCATTTTGAATTTTGTTGGGAAAAATGTAGGATTTTTTGACACTAACCGTTTGTGTCTATTTGTGAAAATTGTATCCCAAAATAAAAAATGAAATAAAACAAAATGAAGCATGACACAAAGGGTGCTGCAAAATCAATTCTCACTTTGAAATTCTTTATAGACCATCCATTCTATGATAATCTTTTTTCTTTGGTACAAAAGGATATCAACTACCTCTATATTAACATGGACAAAAAAATAAACAAATAAACAAAAACAAAACAAACAAAGAATGACCAACATATAAATGGAACAACAAGAAATACCAATGATTTTCTCAAATAGATTTATCATCTTTAGACAGTACATTATGATGTGACATATTAGATTTTCTCTGGCAACTCATACTAATTCAAAATGTGTATATAGATCAAATTTCAGCAATACTAGGTATCATGAAAAACCTTTCATGAAAATAATTATGAAAGCTTTGTGACCCTTGGATTACACTTAGAATAAAGCACCACACACTAATTAAGGTGATCCAAGGATCATAACTCTTTCATAATCATTTTCATAAAAAAAATTTCATGATCCCTAACTTTTCTCATCAACTTTATGCCAAAACCTAGATTACTCAAAGACAAAGTCCACATGTGCCTATAAAATTCCTAATTTGTTCCTTTTGTGTTGGAAAGCTTTCCATAAATAGGTGTTTTTGCTTTGATATAATTAAATGCAAGATGCAGCATCTTCCATTTGGTGTCATCTGTACAAATTCATTCATGTTCTTTTTAATTTCAAGTCCTTCATGGTTGTGTTTGTTAGGAAAAATATGTGATTCTCTACAAGTAAATCAATCAATGGAAAAAAAAACTAATGCGGAAAAATTAAATCAAAGGTAACACAAGAATTTTTACGTGGTTCTTTCAATGTGAGGTACGTCCACGGGATCGAAATTCGATTCCACTATCAACCAAATAAGTTCCAAACAATTACAAACGAGACACTAATGATATCACAAAACCACCCTTAGGTGAATTCCAAATAATCACAAATAAATAAGAGGAAAGACCTCACCAAATAGATGAACCAAAACCTTCAGAACCAGAGTTGAAGAAGACCCCAAAAATTTCACCCAAAACAAAACCGAAACGCTTCAAAATAGAGCACCAATGAAAGCACACAGTTGCTGGCTTGTGAAAGTAATATACAAAGCCACACCTTGACCCCGCATTGACTTTTCCAATCAATTATTCTATAGCAGCCACACATTCGAAAGAAGAGAACAATGTGTATGTAGCAGCCGTACAACCCTTGGGATGAGCAAAAAAACAAAACCCTAAAATATTGTAAATCTAGGGTTTATTATCAAACTTTAGTTGTTTCCAAATTGGATTGGGTCTCTACAAATTAAATATAATATATAAAAATATATTATAATTAATACTAAATCAAATTAAACTCTTTTTCCAAAACTAATTGGGTCCCACACTCCAATAAGGAGGTATACCCAATAATTCTCTCCTTACTGACTTAGGTGGAGATATCAACCATACCCGCCAAAGTTCGACATTTCAAATGTTTGTCCCTCGACAAAGTCTTAGTCAACATATCCGAAATATTATCATCCGTGTGAACCTTTTCGAGTTGTAACAATTTCGAATTTAACACATCACGAATCCAATGGTATCTCACATCAATGTGTTTCAATCTCGAATGAAAAGTAGAATTTTTACTCAAATGAATAGCACTTTGACTATCACAATAAAGCACATACTTTTCTTGCTTCAAACCCAACTCTTGCAAAAATTTCTTCAACCATAACTCTTCTTTGCAAGCTCCTGTAATAGCAATAAATTCAGCTTTGGTAGTTGAGAGAACAACACAATTTTGTAATTTAGATTGCCATGCCACAGCTCCCCCTGCAAAAGTCATCAAATACCCCGAAATAGATTTCCTAGAATCAATATCACCGGCCATGTCAGAATCTGTGAACCCATCAAGCATCGACTTACCATCCCCAAAACACAAACACACCTTCGAAGTCCCTCGAAGATACCTTAGAATCCATTTTACCGCTGCCCAATGTTCTTTACACGGATTAGAGAGAAACCGACTCACCACACCAACGGCGTGAGCAATATCCGGCCTTGTACAAACCATGGCGTACATCAAAGAACCAACTGCTGAAGCATAAGGAACTTTCAACATCTCTTCTTTGTCTTTCTCACTTGTAGGACATTGATTCGAACTAAGCTTGAAATGACCCGCAAATGGACAACCAACCGGCTTCGCTTTATCCATATTGAACCTCTCAAGAACTTTCTCAATGTAACTTT